AAACATGGAGAAGAAGCCGGAGAGCGATGTAATAGACCAATGTTCAAGCAACAACTCTCTAAGATGTTCATGGCTACAAAGGAAATCAAAAGTAACAGAAGTTGATGTTAGGATTGTTGATGATGAAGTAACAATCAAAGTTGTGCAGAAAAAGAAGATCAATTGTTTGTTGTTTGTCTCCAAAGTTCTTGATCAGCTTCACCTTGATCTTCACCATGTTGCAGGAGGACAGATTGGTGAGCATTACAGTTTCTTGTTCAACACCAAGGTTAGTGATAAATAATACTCCACTAATCTTGATTATGGATTTGAGTATATATATTGGATTGAGTTTAGTGATAATGATGTGAAATGAAAATGCAGATATATGAAGGATCAACAATATATGCAAGTGCAATTGCAAACAGAGTGATTGAAGTTGTGGATAAACACTACATGGCTGCTCTTCCAATCAATAACTTTTAATTATCAATTAGGCTTAACTTTCATCTATTTTTCTTTATGTTTTTAATCCATGTTTACTCTTTTGCAAGACTCAATAAAATAAAAAACTTATTTTGGAGCCAAATTGGAACTTTCTTTAGTGCTAAAAGTATGACAGATCTATCATTATGCTCCCTTAAACATGTCATATGTAACAGAAAACGTGTAAGTGATATCTTTTGATCAGTGTTTTAAAATACGGTCCAAGCGCCCGCATATACGACGTCCAGACGTTATACAGTGGCTGGCTGTACCGTATTTATGCTATACGTATTTTCAGATGAAAAAAAAATTATCTTTTTATATACGATAACTAAATGATCAAATATACAGTTTTAACAATATATTGTCTAAAAATTTCAAATAAAACTATGTTTTTGATATTTTTTCAAAAGTATAATTGATATAATTCTATTTTTTGTTATTTGAAACAATTTTCAACTAGGTTATTTTCCTATTTGAATGAAAACTACTATGTTAATGTTAATTATTTAAGGTTTTAATTCATGATAATATTTTTTCTATTATCTATTAAAACAAAATATTTTTGTATATATATATGCAAAAATATCTACCGTATATACCCCGCATAAACGTCTGCGTATACGTTTATACGCTATACGGTGGTCCACCGCTCGACTAGCGTATAGCGTATTTTAGAACACTGCTTTTCATATATAAAACAAGCAAAAGATGTAAATGCCATATACTCCTACACCATTCTTATAACAGGAAAAGTAATGATTCTAGGAGATAAGTATTCATAGTCATGTGCTCCATTATAGGTCCTTATCAAACCGGGTCTAATGTTTTCAATTCCTCAAAAATCAAACGTGATCTTCACAAGACCAAACCGGCAGGTCAAACGACGAATATTTTTGATCCAACACAATATCCTTTTTGTTTTGCTCCATTTTTAACATTCATATTTTATGTGGAAAAGGGCTTATACTTTTAGATAATTGTAAGAATATCCCTATGATTTTAAAGGTAATCACAGTTTTGTACTAGGTGATGGGGACAGTAGTAGTAGCAGTGTACGAGAGAGGTAGGTGACCAGAATGGTCGTCACTTTACAAGATTTTACCCCTAATCTCTTTCTTTTTTTAAGAATTAGAAAAATGGAAAAGATATTTTATTATTTTTGGAAGGTGGGACCTACATCTTCATATTCTCAAACAACCTCGCTTTCTTTGCTATAAGCAGATATCGCATGACCTAACCGCAAGAGGAAACTTATAAAAGTTTGTCAAAATTAAAAAAATTATTCGATCCAAACAACTTTTTATAGGGTTGATGTTTTCTCAATTTATTTGATTTCAAAAACAGTTAACCTCGGGAATTACTCTTTTTGTTTTGTTTTAGTATCATAAATTTATATCAAAAACTTCGAAGTTTACATTGATAAAATAGATTGAACAAAAAAATAAGCAGGTATATGTCATCTCTAAAACAGTCCATATGTCATCTGATGGAGTTTTAAT